TTGTTCCAACGCTTCACAACCTGGCACAAGGAAGACGAAGACTAACCTTGATATGGCCTAGTATAACACATTATCTCCTGATATACTGTGCGCATATGAGTAGCGTTCTTCCACAGTATCTCGATGAAAGCTTCCAGAACATCCCCCGAGAGATCTGGATCGTTGTGGGATTTTCGTCAGATAGTTTCCCAATCACAACCCAATCATGTAACATCAACACCATGTTTCGTAGTCTTGTACATGTTGCAAAGGAGCGCTCGATAGGATTGCTAATCTGATAGTGTAACCAATCCAGTCCAATTAGTGCCAGCGATGGTTGATGGGCTACAAGACACCACGAATACTTCATCAAACCTGCTTAACCGTCGTAAACACACAGCCGAATACCAGTATGACCATCTGATGCGTTGACTAAGTACGTGCCAGTAAAGTTCGGTTTTTGTTTACTTGTTTATTTATTTATCCACTTATTCCATGCATTTAGAGGTGTGCACAGCCTAAACATCAGTATTATTTGTGATAAAAAAAAAAGCTGTCAGATGAAATAGAAAAATTCAAAGCCCCCAACACAGGCCCGTGAAGTTAGGTTTTTTTATCGCTTATTTATTCCACATACACAATGTAAACAACTGTTCAGAGAATAAAAAAAAACCAAAGCATTCAATTATGCAGGTGGAAATCACAAGAATTTTGTCTGGGCAAAGTAAACTCCCGTGTTTACTCGAGCATCTCCTCATGCAGGAGACTGATTTAGTCAGTGAGAGATCCTTTTCCTTCACTCAGAACGCTTCCTAGTCGAATAATTACCCGAGTTTCCAACCAACTCAACCCATGTGCTGACCTGGAGCCAAAGACAAAAAGGGGAGGGGATTTCCAACGGTAGTTATGGTCGCTTTTGAGATTAAGCCATGCCTCTACTTTACAGCTCAATGAGCGTCAGTTCATTTGTCGTCCCCTAAACGATTCTCAACCTTTATGTTCTTCTCTTAGCTCTAAAAGTCTATCAATGATAGCCAGGGTCTGGACATCGTCTAACAATCTAACCAGGTTCTATGTGCAGGCATCATATAGTCTTGAGCTCCTAGATGACCCAAGCTTCATTGTTGGGAGCTTTACTCAGCAACCCTAAAAACAATAAAGTTTTAGAATCTTAGAAGGGGGATCACTACCCCTCCTATCACAGCCAAACGAGGTTGCCTTATGAGGCCATAGTCCTTTCTTCTCTTGGAGCCTGCTCGACTATCGTAAACATTATGACATCGTTCCAACGTAATATGATCTTTCAATGGAGCCAGTTGGATCGAAAAAGATCTTCCCAAAAGTGCAGAGTTGCGTTACCAGAATTACAGTCCAATCGCTCGAGTTGTTCCCTCCAGAGAAATGCAAGGGCAAGAAGGATTCATGGGTTCTGAATCTCAGATTAGCATAAGCTCAGTCATAAGATGTGGCACCAAGAGAAAAGAGTAGCTGTCAGGTGGCTATCTGAGATGTAATGGACCAAAAGATTTCGAGGACTCCATTTTCCCGATCATTCCCGTTGATGTGAAAGACTGGAAGAAAAAACGTTTTGTATGAATCTTTACTTGGTCGCATCATATCACAATCATTCATGATTGCAGCGGGCCTTTTCTTCCGAGAGTTGGATATTATCACGTCCTCATGGTCAGGTAGTTCGTACTTTCAAGACGGCCGTTCTTATAGGGGCCTTATATCCAACTCAGGCTGATTTGGTCCCTCCTATATTTCGTGTCTGGTGGAGGTGGTGTCCTGACAGGTAGCGCATTATACTGAAGATCGAATCTTATTGTTAGAACGATGTTTGCTTATGGTAACCTTGCCTTCCATAACTCCGGAGTTGTCTAATCGAGAGCATTCTCATCTGGGATCATAACCATTAATTTGTACATCATCTGCTAACCAATATTCATTGTGCAAGCCACATGCGCAATCAAATGCCCACTACAATTCTGAGTGTCAGTCGAATGTAGGGCGCATCCCAAAACAAATGGATTGAACAACTTTATTTTCTGTTTGCAAAGACACTTCGTCCATTCATGAAAACTTTATCTTCTATTCACAAAAACACTAACTTCTCATGAACATAGTTTCTCCTTTCGGGGTGGCGATTCCTGTGGAGGCGTCCTATCCAACCTTCATGACATGCTTCATTACTTCTATGTTTAGTTTCGCAGATGCTTGTGGCTTCCTTAATCGGCTGTCTTACCACCCAAATTACTTCTGGGAAAGAACCTCATCTAGTGGGAAATATCAGAAACCATCTTTGTCGTGAACTACTCCCTCAAGGGTCCCTTCAAGGGTCTCCCTTTTGAAACTTCTCTATTTTGAAAAATAAATTAAGTTTGGTCATGAGCTATACAAAAGAACTTGCTTAGGCTTTTCACACGTTTGCTATACGCATAAAACAAAATATTTATTCAAAACAGAATATAGAAATATTCAAGAGAATCTCATCACAAATCAGGCAAGAGGTGACGGTGGCACACTGCGTAACCTCAGTGCTCAAAACCCGTATGTCCTGAGAGGATGATCCGATTCCTGTGGGGAACTGGAACTAAAGCGATAGGAAGTCAACAGCTCATGGCTATGGTGTTGGGTAAATACTTCAAAGTTGGAAAAAAAAGCTGAAAGATTTGCTACGGTAAACACCGAATCCAAACAAACATACTCACATACACACATATGGCTGCTCAACATCATGAGGGAACAAATATAGCACATTGTTTACATTCTTCAAAAGTAAACAGGCCCAAAAACCTTTTAAAAGCTAAGTATTAAAGGGTCGGATTATAGGCATGCAGGGTAGGACCTTTGTTGATGGTTATTTGAGCTGTCTGTTTCCGTGACCGTTTCCTTCGATAACAGATGTAGGCTGATAACAGGCCTAAATTCAGGCCTATACAGACCACAGCAATCACAATGGCTACCCCTACAGCCCATATGGGGGCAAGAGAGCCTGTTTCAATGCGATCAGTTGGTCTGATAGGTGCAAGTAAGGTGGTTGCTTCGGTGATGGAATCACCAGCGTCCGTAGACGGTGCAATGGAGCCTCTGTCAAGTGTCTCGGTGACGGCTACCACGTCAATGAGCGAGGAGTTAGTCGGTGAAGGAAGTTCGGACTGAAAAAAGAAATTAAGTATGTAAAAGGGAAAAATGTCACAGGTTCAATGAACCCTACAGAACGATACGCCATGAAATCTGTCTTCGATCAGAATCGGAGGAAAATTCGAAGAGCAGACGGACACCTAAGTTGTGCCTTGTAGTGTCGGAGGTATTTGTACCCCCAAACAAGGGAAGTGGCTAAAATGGCATCACAACCACTGATCCAGTAGGCCATAGCATCTTGTAACGAGGTTTTTCCCATGAATTGAGTTTCTCTGCAACTGGACGTTTCTTAGAAATCAAAATTGCCTTACCACCATGGACTAGCTGAACTTTGACGTTTGTCAATTCAGTCAAGATTACTCCAATACCCAATTTGCCTTATACCAAAGGCGCTACCTCATAGAAGATCATGTTGGGAGCGAAATCTTCAAAGAACGTCAATTTCAATGAATTTCATCAAATATTTCACTTAAAATTCGCCATATTGTATTCCATACGTTCAGGGAAACTGTATCTCTCTCTTTTAACATGGAATTGATATCCTATTTCTCTCAGGGATGTGCTAAAAGAATTGGAGAAGACTCAAAAAATTGACTTAGATGAATATTTTTGGCTTGAAACTATTCTCTAGTAGACATTCTAACTGATCTATACTTTGATTTCACTGTTTGAATAAAGGGAGAGTCTCTGTCGTGACAATCGCAAGGGCGGTTTGAGTTGAAGTCGAACGCAACTGGCCTCACTTGCGCTGGTAATTCATTGTTCAAGTCTGTGCTTCTATCCTCTCAGACAATTTCGCTACCAATGAGTGAACCAAGGAGAGGTGAAAAGTTTGGTTGGTCTGGGATGGTATCGATCCGGCTTCGATCCGCGGACTTTAGGAGTGTAATAGTGCGCCTTTTGCCACTACAGTAAATCCTTCCTTCAGAATTATCGAAGTATAATTATAAATTTAGCAAAAAATTATAGCTTTGCCGCTGAAGGGAATGGTCTTCAGTCAAGTCTCAGCAAGTTTTCCTCTCTGTTGCCCTTTGTGCCTATATGCAGCCGGTTCCAAAGCACAACGTAAGTCAAACATTCCAACTGTTTTTGGATAGGGGCACTCCCCTTGATTTTGAGTGGAAATCGAGCACGTGTGCCCATCATAAAAAGTGACCGATCCGTGCAGGATGATCTATATATTTTCCAAATTTTCTTTTTATTAAGATACTCATTGAAGGAGTTCTTTTCCGTGAGATATAGGTGAAAATAGCAAAGTTTCTTTAATTCTTAGGGGATCCCGGGAAGGGCTNAGCAAGTTTTCCTCTCTGTTGCCCTTTGTGCCTATATGCAGCCGGTTCCAAAGCACAACGTAAGTCAAACATTCCAACTGTTTTTCGTTAGGGGCACTCCCCTTGATTTTGAGTGGAAATCGAGCACGTGTGCCCATCATAAAAAGTGACCGATCGGTGCAGGATGATCCATTTATTTTCCAAATTTTCTTTTTACTAAGATACTCATTGAAGGAGTTCTTTTCCGTGAGATATAGGTGAAAATAGCAAAGTTTCTTTAATTCTTAGGGGATCCCGGGAAGGGCTAATATGGATATGACAGAAAAGCGTGAAAGGTTACCAAAACTGCCCCGAGTTTCAGGTTATACGGAAAGTATCTGCCGAAAATTTCACATACCTCAGCTTTCTCCGAGGAGTTTTTGGAGGCTTCTATAAGAACACTGTAGTAGGGCGCTACTCGCTTGCATGGGTATAAGTTAAGGGAGAATTTTGCGATATTTTTTTATTTCATTTGTTAGGCACATGGAAAGGACACAGTTCAAAATATATCGCAGATCGAGATCGGGGCTCATCTTCGACCATCTTGTTTCAGAGCTGTGAAGCAATGGAACGAGGCTTGCACAGGACCGGGAAGGGACTTCGAGGCCAAATGCTCGACTCATGTTTATATGGGTTCTAGGGACTGGCTGGATTCGAACTCGTGAAGAAGTATGTGTCGAATATGGGTAGGCAGTGTGGTCTTCAATTGCTAAGTAAGTAAGGGATAGAAAGCCGGGTAGTGTCCTTACATGGAAACCCCATGGAGGCTCCCGGAAAACCTATCTTTGGGCACATTCTTCTCACACAACCTAATGCCGAAGACGGCTGCCCGTTAAGATGTTTTGCCCATCTCGTTGTTCTCGCTCTCGTTGGTCCTCGATCAGTGCGCAGGCGTTGGCTGTCCACCTTTATGTTTGTATTGACATTTTGTATGTATGGGTATGAACCAAAACAGGGTCAGGTTACGTTCCGTACCTTGTCCCGTGAAATACTATCGGTGAGGTAGGTAGATTTCAAGGCCAATTCAGTCCACATCAACTGTATAGTATGGTGGTGAAAAGTCTTCGTCACTGGAAACAATGAAAGTGAAATAGGGTCTTCATATCCGTCTGGGCTCCATGACTCCTCCTTTCTGCTTCACACCTCCCACGCCACGCCTCTTACTCCTAACCCTCAATCTCTGTCGGAAGCTCCAGAGACAGCTACCTTCTCCGGGGATCTCGAGAGACGTCTTCTCTTGCGGTCCCAGGAGAGGTAGAATGAGCGGTGGGAACAGGGAAATTACAGAGCTATCCAGGATTCGGACATTTCAATTTTCGAATTTTTTAAAAACATTTTGAACACATCCATGTTCTCTAATCAAGTCAAATTAGTGAATTGTAATTTATAAGTACAGGCGGAGGTGATGGATTGGCAGGTGGCGCACCATCACTCGCGCATGGTTACGGGTTCAAATCCTAGCTCGATATCCGCCTAGGCCAACTAAGCCTTCCATCCCTTGAGGGTCGGATAATGGTGCAGGACTCTTTCGAAGAGATATGAGAACTGACTTGTACATCGGCTGGCTACCCGCAGGTTATTGTATAGGCCACATACGCATTAAAATTGCCACTACGGTTCCAAGTCGAAATCGAATCGGGGCGCATCCCAAGATTATCCCTTATTCGCTATACTCTAGAGAGTATAAAGTTTCTTTTCCCTACTTCAGCTTCCATTTTTCTAAAAATGTGGCCCTGGTCAGGAGAGGGAGGCACCTGGGTACACATCAACACTCAGGCTGATCGGCGCTTGCTAAGCAAGAGGTTCTGAGCCTGGATAGTTCCAATCGTCAGGAGTCAACTGCTGTTAGTGTTGTCCCCTTTCCCTGTCCCCCGATGATGCTTCTTCAAGATTAACTGAGAGCCTTGAGCAGCTAAACTGGCGGAAGCAAGCTGTGATTCGACTAGAGTAAGCCTTAAAACCGGTCAGAGACTCTTGTACCCGGCTGTGCGGGCGAGATGTAATCCCACGAGTC